CCCTCGCATGTGTACACGTGTATTGTATATGAATCATTTCACTATTAAAATATGAAGCCCATGATGAAGGGTGCAACTCTTTCTAAAAGGTGGGTGGGTGACAAGACATGACCTTCGGTGGGATTATTTTTAGTGAGATAAGGATCGCTTGTCACTGAAGGCTGTGTTTGGTTTGATAGAAAACAAGAGAGGAATAAAGGGTTGAGGGAAAGTTCTCAGGCCATGCATAGCCTATAAAAAAGAATAGATGAGAATGGAGGAATGGAATTGGAATCATGCACTAAAATACAACAAACATACCAGCAAACACTACAGAGCTGTAATGCAGGGGAAGACAAGAGTGGCCCATCCCATCAGCAGTCATATAGTGAAGAATTCCATCAGGATCAGGCCAACCACCATGTTATGGAGTGCATAGAAGACAATAGGAGGCAACGAACGTCTAAAACCACTGCGAGGCTGCTTAGCAAGAAAGATAAAACCACCTGAGACTTGCTAGACCAGTTTGTCATTCTGTTACGATCCCAGATAGGAAGTAACACGTAAATTTCGTCTACTTCGAGGGAAATGAGATACCTCCCTGAGACTTGCTTGACCAGTTTGCCATTCTGTTACAATCCCAGATAGGACGTAACGTAAATTTTGTCTACTTCGAGGGAAACAAGATACCTGCAATAAAAAATTAAAAACCAAATGGTTATAGGTTAAAATCTTCAATTGATTCCTCTCATAGAAACAATGGAAGTATATTATATATATACACTCCAACTCTCACACAACCACTCATTAGTCATTACCCATTACACCCATACCAAACTGTTCAAGTTTTTTATTTTATTTTTGGAATTTTAAGGTTAATTCCTTTAGTTTTAGTATTTTTCATTATTTTTTTTTTAAATTTCAATTATTTCTTGGGATGACCCAAAATAACCCGTGGGTCAACCCTAACCAGAATATTAAGGGTTAGGATCCAGCATTTGCCAACACCCAACCCAAAGTTCAACCCGACCTGAAATGAACCCAAAGTATCTTAACCCAACCTGAACCCGACCCACCCAATCCAATTGCCAGGCATAGGAACAACTAATAACAACTTTCACAAATGGGCCCATGTGGCTCTCTGCTACATGCATGGCCCAACACTTCACCAAAAATACCCACCAACTTATTCTTCCGATTTAAACCACATTCAATAAGTGGGCCCACTAATGGACCCATATGTTAGGCACGTAACAAGATTGAGCATTGACGGTGATTGATGGTGTTTTACTCCTCAAAATGAAAACGAGATAGAACAATCTACAATCCTATCTGTTTTTCAAAAGAGATGATCATCATCATCCTACTCCACGGAGGAATAATTCACGTAAAGAGCGTACTTTCACATGTCGAGTCTTACCAATCATACAGCCTATAATTTGAAGTAATACCAAAGGCGCAATTAGGTTTTATTTTCATCTAGCTTAAATAAGATAGGTATGATCCAGATCCAAAAGGAAACGTTTTTAAATTTTAATTGGGTGTTATCCACTAGAGACCTTGGAACACTTGGGACCTCCTAGAAGGCTAAAACATATCCAGCCTCAGATCATAGATGAACCACATGAATGGATTAAAAAATCTACCGGCCAGAATGAGGTCAAAAACTCAAAACACATGCATTCGAGTGGTTACTGATCGGACCCAATTCCAGTATACGAAGCCGCTTGCGAATCGGGAGACCAGCGAGTGCGAGTGGCATCACCGGTCCACAACACAACCGAAAATGGATGCCGATGGACATAATACCGGGAGTCACAAGCGCAGAGGAACCAACCTTGCTAGGTTTCCCATTGCTTTACCTTGTCTCCTTTTCCATAGTGTTATCAGCCATGTGCAGACCGCATTTACACTCTGGTCTGATCGCTACTTAAAATTATAAAATAAGAATCAGGGCAAACACAAAAGACAGCCCTCACCAGAAGGTAGGGACATATGTCAGATCCCTTTCAACTCAAACAGCGTTTTTTTTAAGTATTCCTTCCAGTGAAGCAAGCAAAGTCGATTAGTTTTGATGGGCGCAACAATCATCACCAACAATGATTTTTTCTAGCAACCATTCACCCAGAGTCTGCCATTGAAGAACCCCATCTACTTCCATGAAAGATATCTGAACAATGGAGTGAATGCAGTCTTCCATATAATATAATGTGTATCTGTTCATGTACTGTCCTCTCCGCAAAGTGCAACTTAATGCCCCCCCCCCAAAAAAAAAACAATACCGAGCCTTTCTGACCTGCAGCATTACAGAAAAGAAGAGTTACGATCCTTGAAGATTACATGCACAACGATCTCTATTTCTTTGTCGTAGAAAAGCCGTGAATTGAGGTTTACCTTTAAGAATCAGCAGCAATTAGGTGGCTTATCTTCATTTGTCCTCCTCATTGGGTGGCTTATCTTCATTCTTCTTCTGTTGGGCCTGGTCATTATATGTTGATACAATCAGAGAAACATAATACCTTACAGGCTTTTTCCATTTGTTTAGGAAAAAGATAAGTTTTTTGAATAGATTTATATCTATAACAAAAGATCTGTAACTAATACAATATCATGACTGACAAAATAGCATGCAACCAATCTTCAAAGTTTCAAAATCTAAATTCTGAAGCTTTATTTGGTAATAAAATCAAATTATTAAAAGAAAATAGAAAATTACAAGGAAGGTGACCAGAAGTCATCCAAGAGAGAAAAACACTCCAACTCCCACCAACGCATACTAACCAAAACCAACCCAACAAGAGAAAAACAAAAATCAAAACTCTCTGAAATGTCCATAGTTCTAACAAAGCTTCATAACCAATTTACAAACAAGATGGCGTTGATGTCATTATGGGATTGAAAACTCACACTAATTAAATGCGGTATATTGTCCATGGTAAAAATACAACTCAAAACAACAAGTACTTGAGCAACAAGTGTAAATATGCCATAGTTATACGGACATAAGAACAGATAGCATAAAAGACTAATGCATTCTGTCACTTCATTGCAAATAGATTGTGGGGTTTCCACCTACAACCAACATTACTTGATGTGCTCATGGATCAGAACCTAAAGCCTCAACTCACCTCTGATTGCCCTTGCAAGGATGCAAGAAGATCTTTTACAGAAGGGTCATTTGGATCAACTCCTGGAAGCTGTGACAGAAATAAATTATTAGGCAACATGCAGAGTGAACTAAATGTAACATTTTACTTAGTTGACAAGTTCAGATCAACATAAACATACTGAAGCAAGGATAGATGACACAAAGGACTGGTCCCCCAACACCTTGGTCATCTCTGTCTGGCTTGCTGAGTCTTTTGGATTGTCTTGCACAGACATTTGAAGAGCTGCGTGCAACCAAAAGGAGGGCATAGGTCATTGTATGAAGGACAAGAAACAGGATACAAATCAATTGAACATGTGAATGCTAACAATGGCAAAGTCTTCCATTCATGTTACAAAGGCTAAGCTAAGTTGGTACAAAGTCATATAAATCATCATCCTCATGTCCCACTTCTTGCTGCCAAAGCTGCAATTGGTTACGGTTTCCCATCACAAGTAATAGAATACTGCATTTTGAGCAATTAGTTAAATGAAAATAAATGATTGAGAAATGTAGTGAGAATGGGCCGAATGGGCTTTAGTGTTCTTTATTTCTTTTAAGTAATATTTAAAAGTTACGTTGCTTGGTTATGGGCCTTATCGGCCTTCTTTTATTTTCTTTAATTATTTTTTAGTGTTGGCCACCCCATTAAGGGCATCCAAGTAAATGTACTCAGACTTAGAATTATTAATAAAAGTGATGAAAGGGGGCTAGAGAGAGGTTCGATTTCTTCTTTTCTCTCTTCCCTTCTTTTCTTTTTCCACAACCTATTGCTGAAACTTCTTTCTTCTTCTTTCTCTTTCTCTTTCTCTCTTTTCTTGCATTATCTGAATTACTTTAAGTGTAATTTTCAACTAGAAACAACACATAGGAGCCAATTTTTTATATTGTCTCCCTGTTCATGATCATCAGACTAACTAGGTTACAGGAGACATCTTTGTGAGGATGCTGGAAGGCCTGTCTGGGGCAAAACAAACCCCCTTACATCAGAGGCACTCACAGTAATTTGTAAATTTGAATTTAATGCCCATCTTTAAACACAACATGAATGGTCAAAGGAGTGTGTGTGTGTGTGTTTTCTTGTAGGAAGCAGCTTCCTAAACAGCCCCATCAAAAGAATTGAAAATCTTGAAGCAACCTTGTTTTGAGCACAAGTCCTTTACATTTGCAGCACCTACTTGCTAACCCCTTAGAATGGAACCCATTGAGATCTTTTAAACCCTTCAATATAGAGATCCAAGGGGTAATTGATTAGTGCAATTGTATAACCTTGGGCTGACAAGCATGACAATGAAGGTACAAGTCTGAGAGCAGTCACTATGTGTAGAGATCTAACCCAGTCTTGTTGCTATGACGCCCATGAGAAATTCCACCTTTTAGCTTTTGTCATTGAAGATTCTTGCATTTGTATTCCAGAGACTCTATAGTACCATGGTTCAAAGTTTACGTTTAAAACATTCAAAACTTTTATTTTTTTTTACTGTTTTGTTAAAAAAATTAAAGTTTTGATTTTTTTTTACTGTTTTGTTGGTTCTTTTGTCAGATATGCTGTTACTTCATACATTCATCAAAAAAATATGTTGTTACTTCATATAAAACAAACAAAACTCACAAACCATTAGAATTAAGTGTTTCAGAGAGCCAAAGATACGAAAAGATACACCTGATATAGAGTATCGTATCAATACTTTGAACCTGTATAGCACAAAATCCCTAGTACATCTGAACATGATCTTCCCTCTTAGTCCTTACAGAAATATCAGAGGATGGGATCAATGAAGCTACAATAAGAACAAAGAGAAAACACTACATAGACACCTGGCCCAGCACTAGCAATCTTTCCCAAAATTTTACACCATAGCAAAAAAAAAAAAAGGATCAAACTGTAGGAGTTAAATAAAGAGGTGGATTGAATAAGTAGCATACCAATGCAATATAATACTTAAGTCTGATTCTCGGTGGAAACCTCCAAAGGCATTTCCCCAAATGAGCAATGTTCTTATATACCTCAATCTACCAAAATCCAAACCAACAACTTCTTTCCTCTTGCGTGGGCTAGCCCAATTAACAGGTCACCAGGATCTGATAGAAAGCCTCATATTCCTCTCAATTTAATTAGTTAACTTAATGGGTGCTTTGAAAGCAGAAAGAAAGTAATCAGCCTAGGTGGAATGCTGCTTCCTAAGGAAATGTAATCCTTTTCCAGGCAGCTAGGTTTTTAGAGAACTATTCTACTAGAATTTCAGAAGTAAATGACCCTTTTATTCCCTCCTAGAGGAAGTCAAGGTATTCAAAGGGCCAAGGAGCAGTCTCACACCCTAATTCCTCCACCTCGCTAAGGTTAAATCCTGAGAGAAACAATGATGCAGGATGTACCTGCAAATCCATATCTTCATTAGTTAGTATGCACATAAACTCTTTTCCTAGAGCCTCCTATTGAAATTCTATTCAACCCTATGCATTGTACAGACTTACTGGCTAAGAAAAATAAGGAAAAGCATCCTAGAAATCATAATTAAGCCTTTCTAGGAATCAGCATCTAATATCTTCTTCAAGGAATCAACACCATCAAAAAATTAGATAAAGGCAAACCCAAGAGACAAATCCTACTTTGGAGTTAGGACCATGACTTTAACCTACTAACATAATTTTGATTTGCTAATCCCAACTATATGGGGTTGGCTACATGAATTCTGTTCCAGTTCTACCATTCTGTCCTGTTCAGTGAAATGCCCATCAGATGAACTCACCCAGGCAACGATCTGAAGTGGAGAATCTCAGATCTTACACACACATACAAGAGCGAACAAAAGACAGCTCATTATCCAACATATCCACTTTAACTGAACCTAATTCTTTTTAAGGTAAAATAAAATTTATTGAAAGGAAAAATAAATTACAAGAAAGGTAAGCAGAAGCCGACTGAAACCCCATCAACCAATCCACATGACTATGAAGTGTAAACCTTTTTCTAAATCTACAAGATAACATTCTCAATCTCATCAAGACCACTGATATCCGATTCTTCACTTTGTTCCGTTAAATGCAGTTTCCTGCCCTTACATATTTTCCACTATTATAATTGTTGGACCATTCATATGTTTTCCCATTATATATACCCATCCATTGCTTTTATGAAAGCTATATGTGTTTATGTGTATTCTTTCATCTTAATTCAATTATTTGGAGGCTCAAGCATCATGCAACTGGAGGCCATCTATTCACCTTAAACTCACTTTCTAAAACACCATTCCAAGAAATGAAGTTCAAATGCATGAAAGGAAATAATGAACCACTCAATAGGAGAACGAAATGAAATCTTCTAATAATAACATGCATAATTCCCAATCAATGAGTGACTAGTCCTGTAGTTGCTTAATACATGGAAACTGCCCCATCAAAATGCAAAAGCTCACCAAAGGCCAAATCTTGATCTTCTGTAGTTGCTTCTGACATATCTGTGTCACCCACAGAGTGACTAGTCCTGGGGTCATCCATTGACATTGCAATGGCCTGCTCTAGCAATGCAGTCTCATCATCCTGTAACCACCTAACACTGAACCATTTAAGAAATTGGAAGGTGATAAAATTAAATTTGCAAATGCATCTTGCAACACTGAAGGTAGGATTTTCCAAATTTGTGTAACAATCAAATGCAGCAATTGCATCCATTTATCAAATCATACAACAAAAATATATCAAAATAATACAAAGCTCCCTCCAACATATAAAGAGATTATATCAAGTCCAAAAGCAGAATATTCTGCAGTCCTTAACTTGCTTAGAAACTTTCAAGTTGGTGATAAAATTTTAAAAATAAATCGCCAAAAAGTTCCTCTAACAAATATAATAATAATGAGTTATTTCCTTACATTTATTGGTTGTGAAATCCTGTCATTTTTTATCAATATTTTGAAATCCTGTCATAAGGAGTCATAAATCTAGTCATTATCCCTTAATTTTGCATGTGGGCATTTTCATAGTTTTAATGAATAGTATTCCACCTTATGCTTTTTTACCTGTTCTTGTTGTTTTCTCTTCTTTTTGAAGGCAATTAGTCTCAACTTAACTCAATAAAACCCCATCAACCATATGAAAAGTTCACTAGTGTTTGGAGTCTGTAAATGAAAATTTAGAAGTTGTGCTGCCGCATGCTTCTGTTGCAAGATGACTAATCCTAGGATGATTCTTAAACAAGAAAAATGAGGGATTCTAAGTGTGACAAGCAAACCCTAGTGTAATCTAGTGCTGTGCTCTCTATTTTGTTCTCAAAGGTTTTCTATTACTAAAGTTCCACTGCAGCTGCTTGTGGTTGTTTGTGAGTGCTTTACCAACCTACTTTAAACACTCTATTGAGATTGATACTTTGGTAGCATCTATAAGCCAGTAACTACTAATTAAATTGCATTTCTTTCATGTACTATTGGGATTGGTACTTTGGTAGCATCTATAAGCCAGTAACTCCTGTTGAGCCATTTTGAGCAGATTGGCCTTAATTATTAGTTTTCCCCAATTTTCCAATTTCCTCCATTTGAATTAACCTTTTTTATCAGCAAATGAACTTTATTTATTAAATTGAAGTAAGTTTACAATTGTTTTACTGAAGAGTTGCCCAAATTACAAGGAAGCAAGAGCTTTCAAATACATAGGTCAACCAGTTTCTTTTTCACTGCATCAGTTCAGTTACAGCTCCACTTGAATTAACCTAATTCACTACCTGCCTGAGAATTATCTTTAACACTAAACTACCCATTTTACCTAGTTAGTTTCAAACTTTCAATCAAAAAACATCTCAGTTAACTGATTCATCAATTCTAATATCAATCACTTGCAACCCTAGTTGTTCTGCATTAAATAGACACAACATAGTTGCACAGATAAATGCTACATCTTGAATCACAAATAACAGTTCCTGTTTTCTATTATGTGCCTAAAATCGTTTTCAGATAATACAAAAAAGAAAACTAAAAAATATATACAAAAAGTCAGAAAAATTGATGTCTAATGTGGCTACCAAAGAACATATAAGATGATTTCCAAGGAAAAATAGAAGTTGTGATTAGACAAACCGTTAGATCATTTCTTTTGTTGTCAGCTTCAGGGGCTGTAACAGTACCACTTTCGGTCATAGTTGTATCCTGTGAGTTTGAGGGTTGTTCCCCTCCTTTTTCTTGTCTAGCAGCTTCCTCTGCAGCCCTTTTAGCAGCTGCTTCTTGCCTTGCCCTTTCTTCTTCCATTGAAACTCTAAGAGCAAGGGCCAGCTCAGGATCTAGATTGGGATCAACGCCAAAATCAAAGCCTGACACACCACCTGCCGCTGCTGCTGCTGCTGCTGCAAAACCACTTCCCCCTTCTCCATCCCCAGTGAATATAGGTGTGCTGTAATGAAAAGGAAACCATATCACTTCAAATGCACAAAACCAAACTAAGCTATTAAAATGGAAATGTTAAACAAGGAAATTACCGACATGGCAACACCAACCTTATGAGCACATCAGAAAGAGCATTTGGACCAGGTGGAACATGAACAATGTGGCTGCTGTCATTGGTGTTCACAGCAGAGAGGAGAGCCTCCAGCTTTTCTTGTTTTCCATCATCTTCCTCACCAAAATCAACAATATCAAGAGCAACACTGTTCTTTTTCAACTTTCTCCCAATTGTTTCTAATACCTTCTTGTCATATTTAACTGGGCTGAAATAATGACAGATGATAACATAATTGAGCAATAAATGGTGATGAGAATGATAAAGCTTAACAAGAGAGAATGTTATCAACCTTCCAGCAAAAACTATAATTCTTTGTTGCTGCTTTTTGTTTTGGCGATGTTTAAGAGCCAGTTGAGCTACCTGAATCCCAGCAGCCAAGTTCATTTCACCACCTATTTCTAAACCTGCATTGAAAAGGAAGATTTTTTTTTTTTTTTGAGAAAATGAAAAGGAAGATTTTCCAGTATACAACATACCTCAGCATAAGCCTGATGCTAGCCATGGGAGTTTTTCAAATGACTTGTGTGATGTTTTTAAGGAGTTTGCAGATAAGCATATAGTAAGCCGTGGAGTGAATGCTACTTTTTTGGCTCTAATACCTAAGAAGCCTGATGCTAGCCACACTAAAGATTTTAGGCCGATTAGTTTGGTGACAAGTATTTATAAAATCTTGGCTAAAGTGTTCTTGTTGAGGATTAAAGAAGTCCTCCCCTCTATAATCAGCCAAGTTCAAGGGCGAAAAATAACCGACCAAATCTTGATTGCTAATGAATGTGCGGAGGAGCTGAAAAGGTCAGGGAAAAAAGATTTTATTTGTAAATTGGATCTCAAAAGGCTTATGACTTGGTGGATTGGCAGTTTCTTTTAGAAGTGTTGAGGAATTGTGGGTTTGGAATGAGAGGGTGTAGATGAATGTTTGGGTGTGTTAGTACCTACCATTACCCAATCTTGGTTAATGGAGTGGTGAAGGATTTCTTTCCAACTTGTAGAGGCGTTAGGCAAGGGGACCCATTTTTACCTTTCCTTTTTACCCTAGTAGCTGATGTTTTCAGTAGAATCATCACTAAGGTCGATAGGGAAAATATTATAAGGGGTTGGAGGATAGGTAAAAGTCGGACCCCAATCATCCATCTTCAGTTCACGGATGATTTGATGATTTTTTTGTGATGGGGGTGACAGCGAGAAGGCAGCAAATTTGAAAGAGTTGATTAGAGGATTTCAAAGAATTTCCAATCTAAGAATAAATATGGAAAATAATTGTATAGCAGGAACCAATTTGGAAAATAGAGAGGTTGAGGCTATTGCAGAGTGCCTTGAATATTCTATGTCTTTGGCCTATGTCCTACTTAGGGCTTCCGTTAGGGGCAAACCCTAGGGAGACTAGTTTTTGGATTCCAGTGATAGAAAGTTTGAAAAGAGACTAGCTTTGTGGAAGAACTACATTTCCTTGGGTGGTAGGATCACCTTGATAAGAACTACCTTGGCAAACCGACCTACTTATTTTTTTGTTTGTCTTTAGGATACCACCTTGGGAAGCAAAGAAGCTAGATAAATTAATGAGAGACTTCCTTTGGGAACCGAGACAAGGAAAAAGGATCATTTAGGCTATGTTTGGTTTGAAGGAAAAGGTAGGGAAAGGAAGGTAAAGGCAGAAAAACCTATACAAGGTTTGTAAAGGTTTCCCTACTTTTTCTTTCAAATCAAACACAGCCTTAGTGAAGTGGGAAGTTGTGTGTAGAAACAAAGAGGAGGGCGGTTTGGGATTAGGAAAGGTGGCTCAGAAAAATTTAGCTCTATTGGGGAAGTGGTTATGGCAGTGGCCTTTGGAGAGATGGAGGCTTTGGCACGAAGTGGTGGGAAGTATTCATGGACATTCAGAGAATGGGTGGAATGTTGGTGTATCAAAGCAGGCTACTTTGGCAACACCTAGGAAAGCCATTCATAGTGTTCTTTCCCAGTTCCTCAAGTATGTCAAGGACAATGTTTGTTCTAGAAACTCAATTAGTTTTTGGGAGGATATTTGGGTTGGAGACACCCCTTTGAAGAACCTTTTCCCCTCACTATTCTTTGCCTCCTTGTACAAGGAAGAGGTTGTTTCAAACTTTATTTCACCTGTGGGAACCCCCTTAGACCCAAATTGGGATTTTGGCTCTCATAAGGGTTAAGGGATGAGGAGATTGATTCCCTCTCTAATTTGCTTTGTCTTTTAAGTCAAGTTTGTTTGGATCCTTTCTAAACTCAACAAAAGGATTTGGGTTTCCAAGTCTAAAGGGGTTTTTTCTTGCGCTTCTTTCTTCAAGTCCCTCTGTCAGTCCCACTCTCAATAGGTTTTTTCCCTTCAAAAAATATTTGGTGCAGGCCGGTTCCTCCTAAAATAATGGCATTTTGTTGGGAAGTGTATCATGAGAAAGTGAACACCTTAGATACCCTACAAAAGAAAAGACCTTTCCTTTGTATCTCATCCAACTAGTGTACTCTTTGTAGAGCTCATGGAGAGGATTGTTACCATCTACTAATGTCCTGTCCTATTTCTGTAGAATTATGGGCTTGGCTTTTTCTGTTGTTTGGGCACAGGTGGAACTTGCCAACAGAAGTAAGCATGATTTTTAATCCCTCTACCTTCATTTGGCCAAAAAAACAGAGGAAAAAGTATGTGGAGATGCGCTATAGCAGCCTTGATCTAGACAATCTGGGAAGAAAGGAACGCTAGAATATTCCAAGGGAAGGAGAGGAATAGTCATGATTTAAAGGATTGTGTGTTGAATAGGGCAATACATTGGTTAAAGACAATGGAACTGTTTCATCAATTCTCCTTTACAGATTTATGGAGAAATTGGTTAATAGTAGCAAGGTGTTCATCCAGCAAGGCTAGGGCAGTTACAAGATGGATCCCACTGCCTGAAGGCTCATTGAAGCAGAATTCTGATGGGAGCAGCCAAGGTAATCCAGGACGCTCTGGAATGGGGGGTGTGCTGAGAAACAAGCTTGGAGAGATTGTACTCCTCTACCCAGGTCCTTTGGGATTTGGGGATTCAGTCAGGGCAGAATTACTAGCAGCCCTACAGGGAGTGCAATTTGCAAATCAACGGGGCATAGGGCAGCTACTGATTGAAGGGGACTCCAAGGTGGTGGTGGGGTGGTTGAAGAATACTACTACATGGCTATAAGAATGAAATCAAAAAATTTCAGTGGCTAACAAGGAATATGTCTGTTCTTATACAATGGGTGGGGAGATCAGCAAATGCTTTGGCTGATGGTTTAGCTAAGCAAGGGGCAATTAGGGAAGTCTTGTTTTGGGCTCAGCTATAATGCTTGTTTTTTCTTCTTTCTAATTTCCTAGTAATCAGTTGGGAGAGGCTGCAGATCATGCCTCACCAAGGGCTGTTATATCTTGTATGAGCTTAAAGCTTTCTATTAAGTTATGAAGTAATAAATTTTTCTTTATTCATAAAAAAAAAAAAAAAAAAAAACATATGTCAGCATGAAGGGAAATCAGGACAAAGGAAAGAACACTCAACTTATAGAATGTTAGATTGTTAGAGTGAAAGTTCACTTGTTTATAAATGGTCACCGAGAGTTGTTAATAAACAGTCCATGAAGGAAAATAGCATAAAAAGTAGTAACATAAATTGAGTCTAGCTCACTGATAAAAAAAAAAAAAACATAAATTGAGTCTAGCTTAGAAGGATCAGGTCTGGTTGGGAAAAACCCATACCCAAGCCAAAGTGTTCATCACTTGAACATAATCTAGCCCAATCAAACTTTAACCCAACTGATCTGCACAACATTTCATATAATTTTTTTGAGTAAACTAATAACATAAAAGTACAAGCATTGTACTGGGGATGTGCTATGCAAGCTAGCAACCTGAGGCAACCAAATTTTAAATCTTAACAGTTTTTCAACTTTTACACACTGAATCTGGCATGAAATCCAATTAGGCAACTTGGGTTTGGCTTGAGCCCCACCATCATGAGTGAGTGTGACCACTGTTTTAAAAGGTGCACATTGCTTACAATACTCTACACCTTGAGGCTCATGCATTCTAATATGATATTCTTCATGCTATTAGAAGCCTTGGATGTGTACATTTACATGTTTATGTGCTTGGATCTATGTTTCAATATATCTAAGAATGTTTTAAGGTATTATTTAACATAATAGGGTTTTTTTTTTGAATAAGCAATGTATAGAGAATTTTAAAATGCAATTACTTTCATTACAGTCATCATTTATAAGAACATGTCATCTTTTTTCTTTCTTTCTTTCTTTTGAAAAGAACACTTTCATTCAGAAAAAAAGAGTGATGTACATGAGAGGATGTAAAACAACAGGGCTCTATAAAAGAAAAAAAAAAAATCAAAAACCCTATCCAATCCAGATTTAGCTAAAGAGTCTGCCACTTGGTTCAGTTCTCTAAATCCATCTGTAACAGCATCCAAGGGACTCAGAGAGATCATTGATTTCATGAATGAGATGAAGTAGCTGTCAGGGGCCTGCCCCATACTTAATGGCCCAGCCTATCACATTCCAGGAGTCACCTTCACCAGTCAAGGAAACAGCTTGAGTCTCTTTGGCAATTACTGAGACCAGAAAGAAGGGAGCGAGCTTCTGCTTCAGAGGCATCAATTGCAGTTGTGGGACCACTATAAAACCCAACACAAGCCACCATCAGATTTGAGGATGAACCCAACCCCCCCCCCCAAAAAAAAAAAAAATAAGCAGCACTGGGAGCTCAGCTGACCTTTTGAGAAAGACATTGAATTACAAAATGGAAGCACAATGAGTCCGGGATGAGAGAGTTGTGTTTATGCCTTGAATTCCAGTATTAGGAGCTAGGGTTTGGAGTCTGAACACTGTGACTGCAATCTCTACTATTTTGTAGTGGATTTCTTCTCCTCTGACGCCCATGGACGTAGGCTATAAGCTGAACCAAATAAATCTCTGACTGTGCTTGAACACTCTGTTTTCTATCTTGCTCTCTTCCTGTTTTTCTCTACTTGCCAATTGTATTTTCCAGACCCTGGTTTGTTTTGTTTGTTCCACAACAGAGAGGCTGAAACTGGGCTGGGGATCAAAGGGGGAAGATTTCAGGTACTCCAGAAGGTTTCTATCAAGGTCAACATAGCTGATGCCTGAGAAGTCTTCGCTGGCCAGCATTCAAGAATTAACCAAAGCTAGAATATGCCTTCCGTGGTCTTCCAAGGATGTGCCTTCTGAGAACATATGATCTTTTATTCATTTATATGCTCTTCCAATATAACAATATACTCTTTTGCATATTCGTATGCTTTTAATCATTCTAGTTTCATGTTGTTTCTTTAAAAAAGGTGTTTATGAACATTACACCTCATGCATCCAAAGGTCCTAGAGTCTAGCCTCAGACCTCTGCACTTTTAGACATTGGTGCAACCCCCTACCCCTCGGTTCAGCCAAATAGTAGCATAGTACTAGTTCCACAAAGTTCAAATTTTGTTTACATACCTTTGTTCTATATACTATTACTATACTACTCAAATTAGTTCAACACAACCCAAATCAAGTCTACCTTAGATATGTTAGAGCCATGTTTCGGAAACAAAACTGGACCATGCACCAAAATTTTGTTTAATCCTGTTGAGAGTAAAAACCTATTTGGGGACCTCACCTAATAGCTTAAGCTTTTAGGTTGAATGGTTCCTTGAGATGGTATCGGAGCTTGTTTGACCAAGTGGTCTAATGTTCGATCCCTGTCACTCCATTATAATTAATTAAAATTCAGCACAAGGTATGGATGGGCCTGTGCTTGTCCACACTTCAAGCCCATTAGGCTTTCACATAAGGGACCTCACCCTAATAGCTTAAGCTTTCAGGTTGAATGGTTTCTTGAGAAATCCACTGATCTTTGTAGACCACTTTAATGTCTTAGATATGTTGATTTGGTACCTCATTTGGATGGACTAAGTTTAAATCTTGATACATAATTTGGATGGCTGAGATTTATTGACTGATCCTGTGAGGTTATTTTGATGTTACAGATCTTTGGCATAGTTTTCAAGGTGCCAAAGCGCATCCAGGCAGAAAGAGGCACTTGCACTCCAATCTGTTTCTTTAAATAAAAACCTTAAATCCTAGGGTAGTTCCCTAGGTGGCTAGGTTCCAATAGCAACCAACATTCATCTTTTGCTTGAATGAATATTCTTCATCAAATAAGTATAAACCTCATATCAGAATATAGAAAATCAACATGTTCGTGAGAAGAAAAAGAAGAAAAGAATGAACAATGAAGAAAAGAAAGTTCATACCTGTTTTTTCCTAGGTAAAGAAGAAAAGAAGAAGAATGCTTTGATTGGATAAAATTTTAAGTTCTACCTTGCTTATCGGCTCAGGTCTTAAAGTCTTCAAGCTTCAAGACAGCATACACCAACATGTGTGTTGATTGAACAAACAAGAAAATAATAAAAAGAAACTAGTATATATGATGCCTATATTTTCTGATAATCTCATAAAGTTAAAAAAAAAGAATATTATATAGCACCTTGTACAAGGTGCTTAAGCGAGGAAAACCACCATGGACAATTGGACGCCTTGTCACCTAGTTATAGCCATCATTAAATTATGGGCACTTGAATCATTTCTTACTACTTCCATGCAAGTCCTTTTCGGCCTGCCCCTAGATTTTCTAGCCCCTTCTTGTAACAGATCAAATCTTCTAATAGGGGGCAAAGTATCACAAGTTCACAACCCCCTAAAGTACTAGGGGCCCCCGTTGTAGGTATGTACAGCTCACTCGAACCTTCAAAGAACACTCAGACACCAAAAGTAACACCACAGAAGCACTTACAAGCAGCTTGCAATCAATCCCCAAGCTGCGATGAACTCGCGGTACATCGCCACAGAAGCACTTACAAGCAGCTTGCAATCAATCCCCAAGCTGTGATGAACTCGCGGTACATCGCCACTTTTGCGATGAACCCACAACACATTAAGCAAAACCGCGATAAACCCGCCGCGGCCCACAAGGTCTAGCCAACGCCCAAACCTAAACAAACCCCAGAAAGACTCGTCCAAGAAGACCCAAGCACACCTGAGTGTGCGATGAAGGCACACCCGCTATGACGTGCGATGAGCTCACAACCTGCGAACCTGCTCTGGATGACGGGCTAGAAAGGACAGTAGGTCGGGCCCACGACAGCGAAGGACTTTGCAAACTGCCACGAGGAATTGATGAAGTACCGACTGCTGAACGGTGACATCACCGTTGCCACATAGGATTAGTCATGACACCCAAAAAGGTAGTAACACGTGAATAATGAGAGAACTCGAGGATAAGGCCAATCCTTGAGAAGATCCTCATGAGACACGTGGCGATACCCAAATAGAGCATCCAATAATCGACAGCGAATCAAATATTCCCTTCCCCGATACGGAGCAAATATCCTCATCTCCTACCTTTTGGGATCTTGTAACCTCCATAAATAGAGATGCTCCTCACATTAGAAATCATCAGATCCTAAGCATTTTTACCATCCAATACTCCCGTGTACGCCCTAACTCTCCTATCGTGCAACCCTAACCTAAGAACTTTGTCCTTCCTTTCTTATAGGCCTTCCTTTGTTTTTCAAAGAGATCGTTCCTCACCCCAGCCTTACACATCCTACACCCATAATTTACCCTTTAGGGTATTTTATGTTTTCTATATTAATTGACAAGGATTTAATGTGTTGTAAACTTAAAAGTTTTTGTTTGACTCAAATACTTAGAAAAAATGGAATAACGGCCATCCATAACATTGTGGTTCCTCCCACTGGAAAACAGTTCTTAGGGTTATAAGGTTCCACCATAATCTACAACCCTACGGACTAACCAACAGCAACTCCTACAGTCCCCAGCAACTGATCTTAATCTCATATAACATGTAACACTACATTGTACACACACTTGCACACTTGCACTCTACATGAAAACCTAGTGAATCACAAAGACAGAGTCTACATCGCATATGAGAACTGATAGTCCTTTGATCTCACAGAAAGAATGGTTACCTACATCCAGATTCTAGAATATCGCTTTCCCAATAACGTCCAACAGATAACAGTAGCTCAAACTATCAGACCAAAAAGAAAAAAAAAAGAAAAAAGAAAAGAAGATATGGAATTACAACTAATCCATTGTGGAAGCAAATTGAGAAAAGAAAATAAAATAAAATAGAATAGAATACCGTGCATGCAAGCCAATATCTTGCCGAGATCACTGGTCGGCGTGACCAAAACACGGACTCCTTTGCCTGCCATTGTTAGAACTCCCACGGTATTCTCCGGATTAGACTGCGGATACATCAGTGGATTCACATTTGCATTAGAAACAAGCCCTGAAACAAACTGAAATGGAACTACAAACAAACAAAACCAGAAGCAATCCCAAGAGTTCATTCAACAACAGTATAGGAAAAAGAAAAGAAGTCCCAATTCAAATAAATCAAACCTAATAAATTTCTTCCACTACAAAACTGCATTTCCTAGAATGACAAGAAAATGGATGGCCTGATATTACCTGCGTCTTAGCTCCACATATGAGATTAACGGCGTCAGCTTGCGCTTGAAACCTTGTGGGCGCGTAGTCACCGTTTCGCATCCATTCCGAATTATCGATACAGATCATAGTAGCCTGACAAACAACAACGCCGATCAGAAGAAACCCTAATCCCAAAAAAGAAAAAAGAAAAAAAAAACAATATAATGGTTTCGTTCTAACTAATAAAGGAGTGATTCAATTACAGACCTCGAGAACCATGATGGAAGGTTGGAAGGAGCAACAATGGCGAATCAAGACGAAGTAATCTTGTAGGGAAAAAAAAACCAACTTATTAGTGGGGGATCAAAAAAGAGCTTCCTCTTCCTTGTGTCAGAAGGCTACTGATTTGTTGGTAACTTGGTAGACTGTGTTTGGTTTGAAGGAAAAAAATAGGAAAAGGAAGGAAAACGTAGGAAAATTTATACAAACACAGCCTTAGTTACTATTATTACCAAAAAAGGATTCTTAGTTACCAGATTGCCCTAATATTTAGAGAAAATAACATGAAAAATCCGATTTGCACCAGATTTGTCCACGACAGTAATAAAGGGAGCTCCTCAGACCGGCTAACATGTTTTTGGTCAGCATCAGACCGGCTAGAGTTTATCTTAGTTACCAGATTGCCCTAACGTCATTGCACAATTTACACCTAATTCAAGATTTTCTTTTTAATCTTTGATCAAGTTTGTGTAATATGGGAGTGTTTAAAAATACTAGCCGGACCCGTGTATAGGGATGGCAATTTTTCCCATCCTCGTCGGGGATCTGACTTCCCCGATCCGATGGAGTTAGGGATGGAGATTGTTTAGGCGGGATGGGGATGGGGACGGGGATGGAGATTAATAAGAATCCCCGATCGGGGTTGGGGCGGGGCTCGGGATCGGGGTCGAGGATGGGGATTGAGGTCCCTACCCCGCCCTGACCCCGATTATGTATGTATATATATATATATTATTATTTATATTAAATATATATTGTTATGTTATTTATATTATATATATCAAAACATATTTAAAAAATTATTTATAATTTAAAATATTTATTTATTTTAAGTAAATTTATTTTTTAAATAAATACTGTTATATATAAAAAAATTTGGGGATTCGGGTCCCTATGGAGAACCCCCATCGGGGATCGGGAATGGAGGACAAAATTTATCCCCGACGGGGATCGGGGATGGGGACGGGGGTTACTTTTATAATTAGGGTCGGGGACAGGGGTTATGATCCCTGCCCCGTTGCCATTCCTACCCGTGTAATAGCAGATTTGTTAAGCAAAAGTTAAATAACAGAAACAAATAAGAGTAGATAATTGTTTTGTATTTTAAGTTTTTAAATAATTAATAATTATTTATATTTTACATATATTTAAATACATATACCATTTAATATATATATATATATATTGGTAATTTTATAATATTTTTTGTTATTTATTTTTTTACTATTAGCATTTTAACATTCTATATATAATATATCTTATTTTTTACAACAATAATTTTCTATTATTTTCTTTTATTTTTTAATATTTTTTATTATTTGTTGTTATTATATATAAGCATATAATATAAAAACAAATAAAATACTAAAAATTGGTAATATGATATATGATAGCAATATAAAAATATATATAATATATTATAACTATAAATATAAAAATATATATTATATTGTAAAAAATAAAAGAAAATTATAAAATAATAAAAACTATTTATAATAGAAAATAATAATAAAAATGTATATATATGTAAAGATAACAAAAATATTAAAAAATTGTAATATGATAGATGATAAAAAAAAGCAAATGGCTAATTAAATTAAAGGTTGTGTTGACATTAGAGTTGACAAAATATAAATTAAAGGTTGTGTTGATAAATAAAACCTACCATATGTATATTATATGTATGAATGCATACACATAATTTTTTCATACATCAAATTACCATTTTTAATTTTTTGCTATCATAATATATATATATATATATATATAACATATCATATGTATATTATTTTCTATTTTAAATAATTTTTTTATTGTTTTATTTTGTTTTATTACATCTTTACTTTTTTATATTGAATATTTTTAATAATAAAACCTCTATGTATAGTCATATTTTTTATTATTTTCTGTTATTATATATATATATAGATATATAGATATAGATATATTATGGTATTTTTTAACTAATTTTCTATTAATTTTTATCATTTTCTAATAATTTTTTATTATTTGCTATTTATATATATTTGTATACACATACAATATATATATATATATATATATATATATATATTCCAATATTTAATTTTTTTATTATTTTATTTGGATTTTTATTACGAGCTTTTTACTTCTCTTTATATATTGGTATTATATATCTTTGTAATATTACTTTTCTATTATTTTTTATTATTTGCTATTATTTTTTACAACATAATACATATATAATATTATATACATTTATCTACACATACCATATATATAAAACTTGTTTTTTGAACCAAAATAGGGTGGTTCAAATAATATATTTAAACATCAATTAATCACTTATAATAATTAATGGTAAAATTAATTACTATTTAATAATATTCCTTTTTTATTTAATAATTACTATTAATGATAATAATTACTTAATTAATTACTAATTAATAACCTACTTTTGTCCCTTTAACCATACTAGTAATTAAGCACGTGCATATGAATTTTTTTCCTATTAACTACTTGAATCTTAGATATATCATAGTTAGGATAGAAATTGAAAATTAATAAAAATAACAATATGGTTAAAAATAAACTTAAATACTTGTACAAAATGTGCACCTGCAGAAATTTTAAATTACGATAACAATTACTACTACTACTACTAAATTTTGTATTCCATTTCTGTCTTACATAAAAATAGTTTTTATTTTAACAATTATTTTTATTTAATATGATGATTATATAACATTAGAAATGTTCTAAAATGTCTTTGACAAAACTCTATACTTTTTTATCTTTCGTATTCTATCTTTTCTTTAAATATTTATTATTCAATTATGATATCATGAATTTCTTTGAAAAGTTGGATCATTGACCCACCATTTAAATAAGAAAATATTTTTGCTTTTGTATCAATTTTAAATATAGAAATTTCATCTACATTATATACATAATTTTTACTTATCACACATAATTTTTGTTTGACAAAATTAATGTATATTTTTTATATATTCTTTTGATTACTTGTACTTTTTTATTATTTTTTAAATAATTATTTTTTAACTATTATATCATCAATTAATCCATTTGACCCAAACCACTAACCCACGACCCAAAAAGAAAAATGGTTTGATTTTTATGTTGATATTAAATTTTGTATTACGTTTCCATTATTGATAAAATTATATCTTGTGTATAATATTTATTTTTGTTTAATATAATGAATGTATAATATTATATATGTATCCAATATTTTATTTTTTATAAATATATAACATTATATATTATGTATAATATTTATTTTTATGATTCTTTGTATTTTATATTTTTTAAAAATTTTATTATTTGGCTATGACATAGTTTCATTTTTAGGTTAATTTTAATTTTGACATACATTTTCATCATACAAAAATACTTCTTACATTTCATACTTTTTTAATTTAGTATAATTTATATACAATATTAATGACATGCCCAATTCTTTTTATTTTTTGTATTATATATATTATTTATTTTAATTTTTTATTATTTAATTATGGCAATATTTATTAATGGATTTGACCCCAAATGGTTGAATTGTTTACTCACCATCAAGAGGGAAGAAAATGGTTTTGTTTTCAAATTTTTTTTCGAAATATTTATTTTTATATTTTTAAAATTAATGTTGTGGATTTAATTTGTATAATTTAATGATTAGAAAAATATATCTTAAATATAGGATTTAATAAGAGAATATACTTTAGATGTGGGATTTAATGAGAGATAATAAGAAAATAGTTTTACTTCCAATTGGTATTAAATTTTACATTTCATTTCCATCATTAATAAAAATATTTCTTATTTATCATCAATGTTTTCAATTTGTTGTTGACTTGGTCGATTGAACTATTCGAACTGTCACTCGGCTGTGATTCTAGGTTTGGTTCTGTTGAAACTCCCCCTTTTGGTTAAAAATCATCTAACTTTGGCGGTTCAACCATTAACCCATTTGACCCAGTAACCAAGTCATAGGTTACACACTTAATTATGTGCAAACTTTTGGAAGCCATAACTTTGCAGTCCGATGTCCAACTGGGGTTATCTTTTTTTTCAAGGGTATTATGCGCCTTGCCTTGCTATTTTCGCGAAAAAAAAAAACTTTTTTGGCCCCAAATTGCAATTTTTAATATTTTTTATAAATAAAAAATTTAAAACAGAATTAAAAAATATAAATAAATGTAACATAACTATGATACATCTAAAACATAATTATACTATTTATTGATAAAATATATAATTTTACACACACACATAGTGTTGACACAAAACGGTTTGACTCATTTGACATTGACAGTCGAACTGGTGGCCTATAACCCAAAGGCAAAAGTGGGTCGGCCTCTGAGTCAGTTTTTAAAACATTGTTTAGTATACTTATTGTTGTTTAATATGTCACATATATGATGTTAAAAATGTTCCCATTTTTTTGCATTTTATATATTTTTAAATTATATTATTTAATTGTGGTAACATGGATTGGCCCCTTTGATCCAAATGGTTTAATTTCTTACCACCACCTAGATGAAAAAACTATTTTTTCCAAGTAGATTTTAAAAGTATAAGTTTTTATGTTATTAAAATTATTAATTTATTATGTATATTTAATTATAGAATTTAATGCTGAAAAGAAACAAATAAGCCTTAAATATATGATTCAATGAAGGTGAATGCAAATTAATACCTTAAATGTTGAATTTAATTAGAGATCATTGAATGCATTGAATATCTTAAAATTAACTATTTTCAATTCATTTAATATCCATAACTAATTACCCTATTTGCCATCATTTTTTATCAATAAATTTAGGGAAATTGTCTAAAACTCACCATAAATTTTCAACATTTATCTTAAACTCACCACAATTTTTCAAAATGTCTAAAACTCACTATGTCACTAACTTGACGTTAAACAGACTAATGGGCGTTAATATATTACCATTTTAATCTTTAGAGAAAAATATAAAATATATACAAAGTATATTAACAGGTGTTAATATATTACTATTTTAATATTTAGACATGAAAAAAGGAAAAAGTTCAAAAAATATTTTCAAATATAAAATACATAAAAGCATAGAAATTACAAAAAATAAAAAATTATAGAAATTGCAAAAAAAAACAAAAAATTATTTTCAAATTATAGAAACTATAGAAATTGAAAAACAAAATTAGAAAATAAAAATTGTAGAAAAAACACCAAAAATTATAGAAAACAGAAATTACAAATAAATAACAAAAAACATAGGAAAATTTATAGATAGTAGAAAATAGAAAATGTAAAAAAAACATAAATTATAAAAAACATTGGAAATTATAACAAAACACTAAAAATGCAAAAAAATAAGAAAATTGAAAATTGAAAAGACCATTTTCCTCTAACTCGCCATTCAAGGGTAATTTGGTCATGAAAATTGTTATTTATGCTGACATGGACACCTATGTTAAGAAGCATTAACAATGCACTAACGGAAGGTGAGTTTTGGAAAATAAAAACTTACTAACATGATGAGTTTTAGACATTTTGAGAAGTTGTGGTGAATTTAAGGGAAATGTTGAAAACTCATGGTGAGTTTTAGACAATTTCCCATAAATTTAAATATAGAGGGGTAAATTTTGTCATCACAAAATTCCAAAAATATTCTTAGGCTATTTGTACTTTTTAAAGAAGTATAGGTATTGGTTGACCCGAACTAGGTTTAAAAGCCAATTCAACCAAAAACTTCCCCTTTAAACTGCATACATATAACCGCATCCTTATAATAATTACACACCATGCATATAATAAAACCCAGTCCGACTTAGATGGACCGGACAACCATACTTCCAAAATACATAAAAGGGTTGAGAGGTTATCTTCAACCTTAATAGTGAAAACAAAGATGCAACAACGACAAGGTTTGGGAGAAGTTCGATGAACACTATCCACCGACAACTCTTGCACGACGTCGATACAGGGATCCGACAATGTCCATTGTGGCAATCAAAAATTACTACTCCGGTGTTCGTCTGGCAAGCCGCCTAAGACAAATAGTGTTAGAAGAAGAAAAATAACGTACCTCTTCAAAATCACTCCGATAAGTAAATTTGACGGAGATCTAAGGGCAGGATATCCTCCGGTGGCAGTGTATCACCTCTTCTCTAGTGTGGTAGAGGCCCCTTGGACGTCTCTGATCGATCGAGCACCGAACGAATATCACTGAAAATTGTTAATGGCGGGGCGATGGGTACAATGGGACCTGCACTTAAATAATGTAAAAGGGTAAAATTGTTCTATGGTCAAGCAAATATATTCGTTGACCATTTGGATCGTACTAACAGTCACACCCTGACTCTCTTCAACGATAAGAAGAATCAAATGACCATTTTTCATTGAAGTGGTATGATTGGTCTTCAGCGACACCGAACAGATCCTAAGTGATACCCATCTCCTTTCCCACTAGGGGGAAGTTGTCAACACTTGGATAGAATAAAATTGCCCATTTTAATAATGGCTTTTAATGACTAAACAATCATTGTCTTAGGCCTTGTTTGGGAGTGCTTAAAAAGAAGTGCTTATTTGGGTTGGGACCACACCATTAAGCACTTATTGGTGTTTGAAATAAGCCCAAACTAAGTGCTTATTTTAAAAATAAGGGCTTATTTTTCAAGCCCAAATTTCCAGCTTTTTTTTAAGTGCTCATACAATAAGCACTTATTCAATTTCTTCTCCCATACTTGTCCCCGATAATTTTTTAGAATACCAATTATATCCTTTCAATATTGTTATTTTTACGAAAGCACTTTTATGAAAGTACTTATGCAAAAATACTTTTATAAGAGTACGTTTACGAACGCACTTCTATAAAAACACTTTTACAAAAGAAATTTTACGGAAATACTTTTACGAAATCACTTCTACCAAAGTACTTTTATTCATTCACTTTGGATTGAATATTTTGAAAATTTGAAAGAAAATGAAGGACAAAAGAGATATAAGTGCTTATTGGAGAAAAAGACCACCAAACGCCCAATATAAAATAAATGTTTAATTTTTAAAATAAGCACTTGAAAAAGTTGGGTGCCAAATGCAAATAAGTACTTATTCGAATAAGCACTTATTCAATAAAGACTTATTTTTAACATAAGCACTCCCAAACATTGTCTTATTTATCTGAGTAATAAAAGAATATGAGTAATGCACTTACCTAGGTAAATAACTTCCCGAAAAGTGAACGGGGCCAAAAAGGTAAAACTGATGGGATAAGATACAAATTAGTAGGGGTGCTCATAACCAAACCATGGGCCTTTTTTTCCAATTTGAACTGGTAGTATCATTTTTTGGAAAACCAATAATCGAAACCGAACTGAAGCCGATTGGTTAATCGACTGATTTAACTGCCAGCTCAGTTTGTTGGTTTTTTATTTATATAATATTGTATATAATAAATATAAAATATTTATATTATAAATAATAAATATATATTGCACATATCTTCATTTATAATATATAGACAATATGAAATATGTATGTTTATGTATGTATACCGGTCGGTTTGATTAATCTCCGATTTTTTTATATTAATTATCTTAAACTGAACCGATCAAATTGGTTAACCGGAATTTTCGACTCTATCCATTCGGTTTGCTTCGCTTTTTCGGTTTTTCAATTTTTTATGATCACCACCCCTACAAATTAGGAAGAGAAGACATTTGCAAATCTAGAAAGACCAGAAGTGATGGCTGGAGTGGATGAAGAAACTGGAACGTGTCTGTCAAATAAATTAACCAATGTATAGCCAACCCATAAGCGAGTTTTACTTAGCAGTTAGCTCCTTGAGCAAAAGACTCAAGCATCCTAAAGACGCATTTCATTGGACCACGTTCCCTCTTATGCCATGTCAAATTAGTCAGTTCAATGATTGACATTGGGATAATTTACAAAATGTGGTTAGGGTTTTTCACTTATCTATCCCGTCCAAGTTCAAAATAATTACAGTTAAAATTATCTCTGTTCGTTCTTTGCCGCAACCCTTCTTTGAAAATAATCTCAGAAGGAACTAAAGCATGGTCGTTCTTCTCATCTCCAGCGAAACAAACACATAAATCCATTATTTCAAAGGTAAAGCACACTACTGGTATTTCTCACTATTTCCCCATCCTGAAACTCAAATCACCCAGCTGAACAGAAATAAAATCGTCTTCGCTCATTTAACAATAATGGTCCAAGACCAAGAAGATAAAAATGAAACTGAAACTGATATTCAATTTAGAACTTCCCCAGGGAAGTTAGGCTTTTTACATGGGTCCACAAGGCTACAATGAGCTCCCCCATTGGCTATTAAAGAAGAAAATTAATCAATAGTTTAAAATTACTTGATTAAAGAAAATTAATCAATACATCTGGAATGGTATTTTAACAAGTTTTAATTTTCAGAACTGGAGATTGGTATGGAGAATCAGTTCTTGGTTTGCTAAGAACAAGTAATTAATCAAAAGAAAAAAAATGAAGGGACATAGATTCCAAGTTAGATTTTCCAACTTTTTTCATGGGTGAAAAAATAGTAAAAAAAAAGCAACTCTGAGATGGAGTTCGCTCTTTCACAGAATTGGTTTGCCGGAAATGAGAAAAACTATATTTTTTTGCATGGTTTTTAAAAACAAACCGGTGATCAAACCGGTCAGGGTCCGGTTACCGGTTCGAACAGTTCGACCGTTCGACCTACCCATTCTGACAAAAATAAAAAAATTTAAAAAATTGGAAAACGATCAAAACCGTTCAAATGGTTTGAACGGTTAATCAGCCGGTTCAGCGGTTTACTGACCAAAATCAACGATTTTAGGGGAAAACAGAACCAGTCAGGTGACCGGTTCCCAGTTTCCGGTCCAACCAATCCGGTCCGGTTTTGAAAACCATGCTTTTTTTGCTCCCTACGGAGATTGAGTTCCAGAGAGGTTTAAATCTTTTATTGTAATTTATTTTGAATGAACGGAATAGGCAAGTAAGGAATCTTAACGGCGTTTGTCAAATTGTCTCAATGTCGGTTATTAAGCTGATATGGCATAAAAGGGGACATGGCCCAATGAAACATATTCTCAAGAGGCTTGAGTCTTTTGCTCAAGAGCGAAGAACCTCTCCCCATAACCCAACCAACCCTCTAATCCCATTTAAAAATACATCAATTGGGTTGAAACTTGCATATCATGTATATATAATTGCTAATTGATTTAAGCACTCATAATTTAAGTATTTAACAACAAATATGGCATTAATAGAAAGGAATGACAAAGCAGGATTTATGTATAACCCATATATGGCTTAGCTAATAATGATGATGAAGATATATTTGCTAGTTCTTTGTGCTTTCATCGATGGAAGGATTGACATTATAAAAATCCCTTTTTCATTGTTCTCAATTCTCATTAGTCATATATACGTGGCAACAGCTCGACTTGGTCCCATTGCATTACAGTGCTGAGAAAAGTCTTGCATCTTACTTTCGTAATTTCTAAATTGAAGGAGAAAATGAAGGGAAAAGCGAAAGCGAGTAGAGATTTCTCAATGATTAAGCCCTAGTTGACATTGTTCCTGTGAGATGATGATAAATGAGTTCATGGAAGGTGTAAGTATCAGAAATGAAATGATGATAATGTTAACTTTAAACAAGGGTAGATTTCAACAGGCAAACAAAGGTTTGCTGTGTTCAAACGTCTTCAGTAAATCAGTGTCCATGGCACATCTCTAAGGATGGTAATACACAGTTGAAATGACAAATTTCAACAGACAACTTTTGCCTTGTTCTTTTCTCGTCGCCCCGTAAGAAGGGAGGAGGGGGGGGGGGGGGGGCAAATCACACCCACAGGTAATATGCCACATACAACATGAGTACATTGATATCTAACTAAAAAATATATAGATAAAAGAAAAAAAAAAAAAGACAATTGTGAACAACTCAATGGTAAAAGTGTGGGCTGTCCTGGAAAAATCTGGGGCAACAAGTATCGAAACATCAGAATCTGAAGTCAGGATCAACGTCCATTGCCCAAGCAAACTTTGCCAGAAGAGATTTGTTGAATATCTGCAGAGAATAAGGGGGATAAGTAGAAAAGAGCAAAGATAACCAGTTCCTAACCTAACAGCCACAATCCAAAGCACCTTCCTAGTTTCTAGTCCTAACTTTTATAACTTCATTGTTATTTCGTTTTACACAGACAGAATCACAAAATAATTCCTACCTTCTCAATAGGAACTTCATGGCGTTTGCACCATGCCACTGATATCCTTGGATCAAGATAGTTTATTTTTGACGTACCCAATGCTACAGTCTTAAGATCCTCTTTGATCTGTTTGTCCCGTTCCATTTTCTCAATCTTAGCATTTGCCTGAGCAATCTTCTTCTCTAACCTGCAAATGACACAATGAATTTACAATGCAATAGTTGTGACATAAAAGACATACTGGGATCAAGCAAGGGCATCAGTTCTATTACGCTTCAGGGGTTAAGTTCCTCTTAGGCTTCCCATCAGCACCCTTCAAAGGGGGTTTCCCTTTCTTTGCTCTAGCCAAATCTGTTTTGAGTTCGTCCAATGCATCCTACTCAGAAGTCAGAACATGAAAACAACCTCATTTTAACCAGAATTAACTTTTAATGAATTGCTATTTAATCATGAGGCTTCCAGCATTACGAAGGTTATCACAATATCCAAAGAATTAAAAAAGGGGTCACGTAGCTCCAATGATATTCCTACCCTACTTCATTCATGCATATTGAGTTCGTCCAACCCTTATGTTTTAAACTCATGGACACCAGGTTTCATATGCACAAAAAAATTAAAAGAAAAAGAAAAGCTAAGAGGTACCTTTAGTTCCTTGATCTTATCATCCAACCTATGCATTTGTGCACTGTGGGATTTTGACACACTACGTTGATGGTTACATATAATTGCAACCTGAAATATCATAGAAAGGAAAAAGAAAGTGTTGAAACAAACCAAAAATTGGACTTCTAATCATGTAAAGGAAAAGAGCTTTATTCTATTGGCAACAAAAAAAAAAAAAAAAAAACCTCTTTGTTTGCATGTTGATACACAGCAATTTTTTCTGCAACATCACCACCCTTACTCTCTCTGTTCAACTGTCATAAATCAAAAGAGAACTTAGAGGAATCAACAGCAGTTGTGATAATAAAAATACCTAATTAAATGGACATCAAACCCAAAAAAAGGAAAATTTAGGATGATAAACCACACTAAATGAAGATTATCTCCTGCAGGACCCTCTTCTGCCAGTAATCTAACGTTCTTCATTTGTAATGGTTACCCTCTATATAAAACAAACATCAGTCTTGTTTGATTTTTAATAAAACAAATATTCAATGAGATGTAGAAAACTTGGAAAAGGACAAAAAAATGTAGAAAACTTGGAAAAATATAAAACCATAAGAAATGAAGTTAAAAACAAAGTAAGGTTAAATATAAGTCATATGATGAACATCATAGAGCAGGCATTATAGAGGGAGAAAATGGAGTTTATAAACTATGAAAAATTAGAAAAAGAAAAGATTTAAATCATGTTAGATGCATTAAAGACTAAAGAGGAAGATCAAAGAGTCTTGATAAAAAGGTCAGGGAATCAAGAAGAGATGGAAACACAGTTTTCAAGGCACCAAGGTGAGGCTAGGCAACAGGGGGGGCGCTTATCCATAATTTCCATTAAGAAAAGTATAAACTTCATGTTGAAGTATAGAAAATCAACATATTCATGAGAAGAAAAGGAAGAAAGAAAAGAAAATTCAAAAAATATAGGGGCTGAACCACCCTTATTTTCATTATAGGAAAAGAAGAAAAGAAAAGGTGGAAGAAGAAGATGATGATGATGATGTGGAAGAAGAAAATGTGTTGATTAGACAAAATTTTAATTTCTTCCTTACTTATTGGTTCAGGTTTTGAAGTCTTTGAGGGTTCAATACAGCAGTTAGCAATGTGTGTGTTCATTAAACCCAAACAAATAAGAAAATAATAAAAAGAAATTAGTATATAAACACACAAAACAAATATTTTAGTTTAATAATGTCTATTTTATAATTATAATCTTAAAAATAAAAAATATTTAAGTATTTTATAGCACAGCATACAAAGCTGCTTGGTGAATGGTGATTAGGCAAGGTGAGCCTCCAAGGGCGATTTGTTGCCTAAGTGCCCACCTAGGCGTTGCTTTGACAACATTGAAAAACTATTTTGAAAAGTAATCAAATGAAGAACATGTAAAGGGTGTAGGTGGAAGAGGGATTAGTAACTCTAATAGTACTGAAAATAACATACACCTTCCTATGATTAGAGTTACCAAAGTGAAAGAAACGCTAAGCAAGATGAAAAAGGGAAACACATTAAGCTCAAACAGTATCCCAATAGAAGTGAAGAACATGTAGAGGGTGGGGGTGGAAGAGGGATTAGTAACTCTAATAGTACTGAAAAAAATATACACCTTCCTAAGATTAGAATTACCAAAGTGAAAGACGCGCTAAACAAGATGAACAAGGGAAAAACGTTTAGCTCAAACAGTATCCCAATAGAAGTGTGTAAAGCTATGGGAGAGGTAGCTTATTATGACTAACTAAACCATTTAATAAGATAATGAAAACAAAGATGTTGGATGAGTGGAGAAAGAAAACTACGGTGTCTATATTTAAAAACAAGGTAATATACAAAGATGTAATAATTATCAAGGAATTAAGTCATGAGCCACAATACGAAACTTTGAGATAATGATTGAACAAAGGTTACAACATGTAACAAGCATATTAGACGACCAATTTGGGTATATACCAATAAGATCAACCATGGAAGCTATCTTTCTATTAAGATGATTGATAGAAAAGTTTAGAGAGAAGAAGTAAGATCTTAATATGGTTTTCATTGATTTTAGAGAATGCATATGATAGAGTCCCTAGATAAGTAATATGATGGATTCTAGAAAAGAGAGGAGTCCCAAATAGGTATTTGGAGCTAATTAAGGATGTGTAGGAGGATGCAGAAAGGACATTTGTACTTCTCCGGTATACCATAAGATGGTCTGGTCACGTGCATAGAAGACCACTAACAGCACCTGTAAGAATAAGTGATCTGTTGCAAGTTGAAGGAAAGGATGGGGTAGAATGGATGTGGCATTAAACAGAATGGAAAGGAGAAACAGGATTCATGTTGCTGATCCTATATGGTTGGAAAAAGACTGATGATGATGAGGTGCAAAAACCAACACTAGAACACATGGTAGAGACATCAGATATTGCAGTTACAATGAGTCTTCATTTAAGTCCTTATTTATTTGCACCAGACATATATGAATTGATTAAACACATTCAACAAGAGGTCCCATGGTGCTTGGAATTTGTTGATGACAGTATTAAATGATGAAACTAACAAAGGATTAAATGTAAAATTAGGTTTATGGACAAGTACATTTGAAACAAAATGTTTTAAAATAAGTATGACTACAATAGAATATACGCAATGTAAATTTCATAATAATAATTTGAATACAATACAACACTTTACCTTTCCCTCAAAAACAATTTAATAATAATAGGAGCGCAAACCAGGATACACTTAGGATTGGAGACCAAAAGATAACTTGATAAGACCTTTTTCATTACTTTGATTCAACAATTCATAACAAAGTTGAGATTGAGGAGGATGTCCCTCATACAATTAGAGTAGGATGGTCAAAATGGAGGGGGTACATATGAAGTCTTCTGTGATTGGTGAATATCATTAAAGTTAAAAAGAAAAATTGTATAAAACAGTTGTAGCGCCAACTTTGTTGTATGGAGCAAAGTGTTGGATGGATGCTATACTTGCATCCATGAATGTTCTAATTGTGCAAGACTTCTAGCTCGAGGGATGATGTTACACATGAATGTTCTGAAAAGGTTTTGGATGGATGCTATACTTGCAGCTGCTCATGTCATCAACCGCATGCCCTCCAGAGTGCTGAACTACATGGCCCCTCATCAGTTGTTGTTCCCTCAGTCCCCTTTATTTTCCATTCCCATGAGAGTCTTTGGTTGTCGTGCTTTTGTCCATGATTTGTCTCCGTCTCGGGGAAAGTTAGACCCTCGGTCCATTCCTTGTATTTTTCTGGGTATCCTTCATCTCAAAAGGGGTATCGGTGCTTTGATCCCGTTAGTCATAAATTTTTTTGTCTCTATGGATGTGTCCTTCTTTGAGTCTGAACCGTTCTTCCCTGCTTCTCCTTAGGGAGAGAGTAGTGTGGAAGAGGAGAAGTAGGTTCAAGTCCACCAAGTCTCTCTTCCTTCTATTCCGGACTTGGCCCCCTTTCATGTCTTCCAATGTACACACTATAGAGATCAGCAATGTGACAGAGATGTGGAACTACCAAACACTGAGCATCCGACGCCGTCAAACTCCCAAGAGTTAAGTCCAAACCCTGCTATACCTATTGACACCCCTGCTCCTACTGTGGATGACCTTGACATTCCTATTGCTCAAAGAAAGGGAGTCAGGTCATGCACTACCAAACACCCCATCACCCAGTATGTTTCCTATGATCACATTTCCCCCTCATACCAAGCCTTCCTATCTGCAGTTGATTGTATCCCTGTACCCAAAAATGTTGTAGAAGCCTTAAAATACCCTAAATGGACAAATGCTATGAAGGAGGAGATTAATGCCCTCCATAAAAATCAAACTTGGGAACTGGTGGATCTTTCAAGGGGGAAAGACCTAGTGGGGTGTAAGTGGGTGTTTATAGTTAAACACAAGGCGGACGGGACAGTTGAAAGGTATAAAGGAAGATTAGTAGCCAAGGGGTACACTCAAGTGTATGGAGTTGACTATGATGAGACATTTGCTCCAGTAGCTAAGATGAACTCAATTCAAGTTCTTCTATCATTAGCTGCTAATCTTGACAAGGTGGACGGGACAGTTGAAAGGTATAAAGGAAGATTAGTAGCCAAGGGGTACACTCAAGTGTATGGAGTTGACTATGACGAGACATTTGCTCTAGTAGCTAAGATGAACTCAATTCGAGTTCTTCTATCATTAGCTGCTAATCTTGATTGGGAATTGCATCAACTAGACATTAAGAATGCCTTTTTAAATGGTGACCTAGAGGAGGAGGTGTACATAGTTCAACCCTCGGGATTCTATGCCAAGGTAAGTGAGAATAAGGTGTGTAAGCTAATAAAGTCTTTCTATGGTTTGAAACAATCTCCTTGGGCTTGGTTCAGTAAGTTTCATATGGCAGTTCAGCAAGTAGGGTTCAAGCAATGTCAGTCTAATCACACACTTTTTGTGAAGAGATGTCAGGAACAGGTTGCTGTTTTGATAGTGTATGTGAATGATATCATCATCACAGGAAATTGAAGTTTAGAAATACAACAGTTGAAACAATTTCTTGCATCTAAATTTGAAGTGAAAGATCTAGGTCCTCCAATGTATTTTCTTGGAATTGAAGTTGCCAGCTCTAAAAGGGGTATCTTCATTTCTCAAAGGAAGTACACTCTTGATCTGTTACAAGACACAGGCAAGTTAGGTGCAAGACTAGCAGATACTCCTATGGATGTTGATCATAAATTGGGTAACTGTGATGGTGAACCTCTGAAAGATGTAAAACAGTTCCAAAGGTTAGTGGGAAAGTTAATTTATTT